TTGAATACAGCATTTCTGAGTATATATTAATGGTTAAGGTCTGTTTTTTGAGCAATAACAGCATGATTGTTAATCAGAAGAAATTTTTTTGAGACAGTACTAAAAAAACAGTCTATGCAAATAATACTTAAAATTATCAATGAGCATAAAACTATCATTCAGGAAATCATGAAAGAACTTGATGCCTCAGTCACTTCAGAATACTCTATGGTCGTTGACGGCAAGCTTGTTTATCAAAAGGTGAATACTCAAAAAAAGATTTTTTCATAAAATGACAGTCATAGATAAATCTTTTTTTTAAATTTACTTCTTGCAAGCAAAATATAATTGATAATCGTAAACTAGCCTGTATGTAACCATAAATACCACAATTGGGGTTGCCACACAAATAATTACTAAAAATTTTTATTTAGTAGCATAAAGTGCTGAAAAAAGTTGCATGAAAGCTTAAAAAAATGTTGTAATAAATTAGCATAAAAAATATAAAAACTTACTCAAAGTAATCGCAGTGCAGTGTAAACCTGGTAAATGTGCAGTGGGACTTAACCATAAGAAAAATAAATATACGGTATATCGGGCAGTAACATTTAACCTTTAAAAAAAAAATGAAACATGTGTAGTGTATACATTACTTGGTATGTCACTCACATCTCTTAATTTATCCAATTATTAAAATTAAAAACAACGTTTACTAATAATAGCCGTATAATCCCCACACACTAATATTTTCCAAAATTATTTATAAGAAAAAATTTTTTTAAAAAAACTATCCTAATTGCTGAAAAAAATTATATTTTTATATGAGATAAAATTAAACAAGAATTTTACAAAAACCTAATAAATATGAAGCATTTAAAAATTTTAATCGTACTAGTAAGAAGAAAAAATTTTATTCCAAATATAATGTTGAGTATGTATTGTATAGCTGATAAAGAGAGAAACTTAGTAGGATTATTAATACAGGTGAATAAACATTTTACCAACTTGTCGAAGGTATGCCAACTAAAATCATCCTCAAATTAGTACAATTTTCAAAACTAATACAATAATCATACAAACCAGACGATTCAAGTAGATTTTCTTTTGTTAACTACTTTATTCAATTTATTTTCTAGGTGTGAATTATTACTCATTCATGTGATTTTTATAATGCATCTGGATTAAAAATGGGTTTTCTCCTGTTCAAAGCTGTATCGAAGGATAGGTTCAGTGCCCAGAGTTCTTTTGGAGTCTCCAAAAGTTGCGAACATTTATATTTCCTAAATTAAACCTATTTGTTTAAAAAAAATGAGTATACGTGAAAATGAAAGAAAAAAAATTTCTCTCTACAATATGCATATATTCACATACATCATATGTTACATATAGAATTATGCGTATTACGCAGGGTTGTCTACTCATTCACCTGTCAACAAAAAAAAACATTTTTAAATGGGGTTTTTTAAGAAAAAATAAGAGTTGATTTGTCTTTTTTTAAATTTCCTGTTATACTACAGTTACTATTATAATTTCACACATTTTTCTCAAATTATTTTTTTATTTTTACATGCTAAAAAGTTAATGTGAAAAATTTTTAATACATTTTTGAAATTTTCATTCTATGAAAATATATATTTTAAAGAATAAAAAATATTTTATCATAACAGAAATGGGACCAGTTTGTATTTTACCAAAATATTTCATCTCAGTGATTTATTAATTTTATACGAAAATTCTGTTACTTATATTAATTAATGATATATATTGGCAAAATAAAATGAATGCCACATTTAGTTAAAAGTTCTGTTATAGTCTCTTCTGGTTCTACTTCACTCGGTAAATGTCTATAAACTTCAAGCTTTTTCGGGACTCAAACTGTTTTGCAACTTGGATCAAACAAGACCACATGTAGAAAACCTGTATTCAATAGCGGCTGAACAGCCAGCTAACAAAACCATAAAATGTGCAAATTCTTTCATATTCTCCAGCACTATTTCATTAAATAATGAGTGTGGGTACACACTTAATATTTTATGAAACACAGAACTAGAATTAGCCATTCAGCATTTTTTTAGAAACTCAATCCACTGTCTCTTTCCTCGTGTATTTAGAAAGACTTTTTCGGATTCAGCACATTAGCTAAAAAATGGAAAGGAGTAAAAGCTTACTTATACTACCCTCTTTTCAATAATTTTTTAAGATGAACTTGGATTCTCACTGTCTGGTTGGTTTAAGTTCTGATTCTGTGTTACTTTTTCTATTTAAAAGTTTTGCGTGATTGATAAATAATACATGGAGGCCACCTCATTTTTTGCATGTTGATAATGGTCAAACCTAAAAAATAAAAACTGAAAAAAGAGCTAAGGGGTTGGAAAGAATATTGGGTGTTTTTCTGATAGGACTGTCTTTTTATCAATAAACTATATTTTAAAATATCTATAGAACAGAGAAAGAGGCATAATAATTTAATTTGTTTATGAATTTGTGTAATTAAAATTTATATTTATCTTCCAATATGTATGTATGTATGTATGCTTACCACCGTATGCTGTTATAGATTTAGTAATAAAATTATATACTAAGTAAAAGAATCGTATACTAATAATATACTATGTTATATACCAAAACAATTAAACCCCCAAAAAAACCTCCTGGGTCAGACTTTTTTTAATAACAGAAAAACGTTTTTTTTCTTTCAGCCCTAGTAGGAGGAAACTTTTACGTACTCAAAAAATACTTTAGCAGTTAATTTTATAATTCTAGTGGGTAATTTCATATCTACTTTTTGATATCTTTTTAGTTGAGCTTAGAATTTTTTTCTCCAAAAATTTTATTTGTTGTTGTAGTTTCATTTACGTCGCACTAGAGCAGCACAATGGGCTATTGGCGACGGTCTGGGAAGCATCCCTGAGGTTGATCCGAAGACATGCCATCACAATTTTGATCCTCTGCAGAGGGGATGGCACCCCCGCAAAAATTTTAGTTTTAACTTTATGTCTTAGTAGCTATTTCTTTTTTGAAAGGGGAAGTATTTCTGTAGGTTTTTGCTTTATTTACATTCTGATGAAATTTTTAAATAGGTTTGTAAGTTTCTTTTTTTTTTTTCATGGAAAATCATAAATTGAACTCTAATTAGTATACCATCAGGTTTGAAATTTTCACTTCTGAAATAAGTTTACAAAAAAAAAATAGACATTTCTACCATAAAATACTTAAATGACAAAAAGTTAGCAAATTATAATAGCTATTTGGGGCAATTGACTTTTTGTGTATTTTTAGATATTAATTCACAAGGTGGGTAAATTATAAATAAGTAACAACTGGGAAAATGCTAGAAATATTCGTTAAAAATGAGCTCTCATACACTGTTGGAAAAAAAAAGTATAAAAAATAGCTATTGTAAAGTAAATAATAAGATTCACTTAAAAGCCTAATTTTGCCTGAAAAAGTAGCAGAAGCTCAAAAAGTAGAATTTTAGTTGACTCATGGCAGCCCTGTACCACGGCTATGTCTTCACTGAAGATTTATAATTTTACTCTGCTGCAGAGGTCTGATTAGCTTCAGGCACTAGAGCTTGACCTTAAAATTGCTGCTATAAAAACAAAAAATATTATTTCACGCTTACAGCTTTACAATAAATTGCAAAGCATAAATAACAAACTTCTTTTTCTACATAATAATATGGTCACCTATATTTTAAACTGAAATCTTCAATATACAATGAAATAAAACTTAATATATTGTTTAATATTTATTTTTACTTAAAGCCTGATAAAAGTAACGATTAGACCTTAGCTTTTTCTTCAAAAAAATAGCTATCATAATACAAAATCTATAAACAAGTTCTAAAGACTTCAATAATACATTTTTTTGTAATTTGTGTTAACATAATGAGATTTACTCTAAGTAAATATTCTTTTATATCTATATAAAAATGCATTTTATGTAACTGTCAAAAAAAAAAAATCTAACAGCATAAAAAAACAAGAAAAAAAACCAGTTGAATACTTATATCTTACTTAAATGTTTAAGAATATAAAGCACTTCTCAATCGTTTTTTTGCTTTGTTGTAATTAAAAAAAAAAAAAGTACTACTCCATTTCCCGGTGCTTTAAAACACAAACTACAGTACAGAACCTGTTATCCAGAAATCAGAAAATTTTCCCGCCATTTTTAAAAAAAATAAAATAAAAATTTTCCTCATAAGGTTTTAGGATTTTTTTTTCTTTTTTGAAAGATGTTTACCTTAGCATTATTTTGGAAATAATCATTAGTGTATTACTCCATCGTTTTTTCTTCTTTTTCAGATAATTTTCAAAAAAAAAATTTTTTTTAGTTGGGTTTAACAATAAAAAACGGCTTTTTGTAGTGATTCAGAAAACCGGAAAAATCAGTTATCCGGAATAGAGTTGGGTTTAACAATAAAAAAACGGCTTTTTGTAGCAGTTCAGAAAATCGGGAAAATCAGTTATCCAGAATAGCGATGGTAACCGGATAATCGGTTCCCTACTGTATTAGTGGCACAAATTTTATTAGTGTAGCGAACAAGAATTCAAAGAAAATTAAAATATTTCTCTCCAACGTTTGAAGCTATAAAAAATTTTACGCTCCTTCAATAAATTCATAATTTCAGATTAGGATCCAGATTTCAAAATTTTTTTTACAGCTTCAGAGAGTATAAAATAATTGTATTGAAGTAATAAGCATAAATATAGAGGAAAGATTTCCATATCAGTTTGGGGTAATAGCAAGCTAGAAACAGAGAAAGTCCAAATGTAAGCACATAACTCATGGTCACACCATAAAAAGTTTTTGAAAGTTCAAAAATTTTTTGATGCATTGGCAATTGTAGTTGGCACTAACAGATACTGATGTGAAAAAATTATCAGAAACAATCTATAGAACAGTAATCAAGGTAATTTTGTAAAAGAAAAATTTATGTTTATTTATCACAAATGAGTAAATATTCGTAAATACCAAATATTTAAATTCGGTAAATTTTATTCAAAGAAATAATAATCTACATTTTTTTCTATTTTATTGAAAATCTAAACATAACAATTTTTAATTTTGCAAGTACTTCTATCCATTCTAATTAAAGATTTAGTGTATTTATTGAGCACTTTTCAGTATTATAACGAAAACAATAGTCAATGAAACAAAATAAATATGCTAATAAATGAATTTTCTTATTTGCAGTTAATGCTTGAGTCTTTAGAGAACGATTGCTTTGATTTACAAGGTAGAGTATCAGAATTTAACTTTCATATTCATGTTTACCCCAGTTGCGACCATGGTCTAAATTATTTTTTAAATGATATGCAACGGTCCTTTCTTTAAGAGGTTTCAAAGACACTACTTTGTCAGGAAAAGCCTTTTCAATAGGTTCTGGATGTTTCTCCAAATAAAGTTTCTCTTCCTCTTCAGTGACATAAGGATTTTTTAAATACATCATTACTTCTTCTTCGTACATCAATTTTTTCCACATATCAAGACGAACTTTAGCAGTCACAGGAGGTACGAAGCGATGTTTACCAATCCAAATGTTTCCAGGGATACCTTTTACGAACTTGTACTTTCCACAGATAAGCGAGGTTAAGCGCATATTTAATCAATGCTATAAAAGAGGAATAATTATAAATGTACGCAAAGCTAAAACTTGTGCAGATCACCATTTACTATATTCATTTATTCAATTTACACTTCCAGCTGCTTATTTTTGTTAATAAATAATATGATAGATTTCGCCTATCAAATCAAAAGTTATTTGTGCTTACAGCTTGCTATTGTAGATTACTTCAAAAAAAGGAATATTTCGTTTTTGATTTGTTTCTTGAGAAATCTAGCACTATATTAAATGATAGTTAATACTTTTTTGCATTTCAGATCCTTGTTTCATGTTTTTAAATCCTCTAAATTTAATTAGGGATGGAGCATGATGCAATCTAACGGATCATTTTTATTTTGCGTTCATTCGCATTTAAAACGATACGATTAAACGATACCTGAGTACGTACGGTAACGGGATACAAAATACATAAGGTACACATCTAGCACTAAAATTTACAAAATACTGTTTATAATTAACTTACATTAATTAATTATCTAGGATTTAAACTTATAACTCTAACGTTAAGCATCGTACGTACTTAATTACTCATACATTAAGACTTATTTACTTTTCTATCTCGTAAGCTCAGGATGACCGAGGATGAAACTGTGAGTAAATTAATGGGTCATTTATTTGAGTAATATAATAAAATGGATCTAATCATACTATAAAAATATATTAATTTTGCTCATGGGTGATCCCTACGTTTAAAAAATGTCAGACTTTTTTATTGTTTATATTTTCTTATGATCAAAACTTATTTGCAAAATATTTTATTGCTCAAGTCAAGAACTTTATAGTTTGTTTATTTTTACAAATATGAATTATTCCACCAGTATTTTTTTTTGCCTTGTACTCTAAAGAGAAAATTTTGCTGAGTCGTAGGCAAAAACTTGCCATTTTCTAAAATAGTGTTGTTTACTTATTCCGTATCGGGATCTGTGGCAGAATAATTGCCAAGTCTTGGCAACTTCCATGCCATGGCCCTCGAGGAACTAAAAAACAGAAAGGCACTAACTCAAAAGGTATAACTCGTAGCCAATCTCGGGCAAACATCTACATGTTTTCTTTAAAAGAATTTGCAAGTTTAAAATCTATTTGGCACCTTGGCCATTGTAGTAGGCGTGACAAATCATGATACGGAAATATCCCCTGCCTGTTGGTAGCTATGAGTTATATCCTTCAAGTTGTTCCCCCTTCTGGGATTTTTGTCCGTTACTGAAATTTGGCGACTAATCTGTCGCATATCACAAAGCTGGAATCGGGAAGATTTCCGTATCCTGACCTGTAGCAGAATAATTGCTGAGTCTTGGCAACTTCCCGGCAGCCGCCCCTTGAGAAACTAAAAAAAAAAAACACAGAAAGGGACAAACTCAAAATGTATAACTCGTAGCCACCCCCGGGCAAACATCTACATGTTGTTTTTTTTTAAAATTGCAAGTTTGAAACCTAATTGGCACCTTGGCGACTGTTGTTGGCGCAACAGATCAAGATACGAAAATATTCTCCTGGGATCTTTCCAAGTTTAAACGTGCTATATATTCTGATTATAAATGGAAAAAAAATGCAATTAGTGATTAAAATTTTTTATTAGTACATATTTTTAGCTAAATTTATGAGGAGTCAATGGAGTTAACAAAATTTCTTTCTGATTTCGTTTGGTAAGGTGTTGTTTACCCGCCATAATTTTATATGTTAAAAACAGTGTTAAAATAGACATAAACTCCTTAATCAAATGGACTATACATGATGTCCAAAACTATTATAATCTACTTCAAAAAGTATTTTAATTTGTATTATTTACAATTTGCGGTATTACGTTTATGTGTCAGCATAAACATCATTTAGAGCACTTTCTTAATGTATGTCAATTTAGTTGTGACATTTTAGTATCGTAATTCATCACTCTAACTACAATCTCTTTATATGCCAAATGGATTTTAAATGTGCAAAATTATAAAAAAAAATATGCAACGGTTTTCCAGGATTGGCTATGAGTTATACTCTCCGAGTTGGCCCCATTCTGTCATGTTATTTTTTTCATTTAGTTTCTCGTGGGCTACTGCTTAAAGCTCCCAAGATTTGGCGACTATTCTTTCGCAGATCATCATGATACATAAATCTTCCCCTGCTATTAATTCTACATTTATATTCTATACTTATTTTGACCATCTCATTATGTGTTTGCTTGGCTATCTCAGAAATATTATACTAAATTTAGGTGTTTTATTGTGCATATGTTACTTGTAGGTGTAGCCTGAAAAAATATTATAAGGGAAGGGGCACAAGATTTTTTTAATTTTTTTTATATACTTTGGGATTATCTTCTTGACCTGTCAACGCTTGCAAAAATGCGCAAATCCTTTAGTGCCATCATAATGTAAAGCAATTTCAAAAATAAACATTCTAAAAACACATTAAATTTATCAAATAGTAATAACCCCCAAAAATATAAGTAAAAATGCGTAATAGAAAAGTGTAATAAAAAGAATCAAAACAAAGTAAAAGCCTCTATATTTTTAGAATTACACATTGAATTATTCTTGAATCTAACCATGTATATTATTATCAATCATTTCAACGGCCATAAATTTTTGATAGCTTTAAAAGCTCAAACATTTGCCTAGCACTGTCTTCGGCGGTAGAGAAATTCGAATCATTTTGCAGCTGAGTAAAAAAAGNACAACAGAATATTTCAACATGTTAAACAAAAACCTAGGCGTGTAGTCAAGGATTATGCAGTATATATGTTAAAATTTGCTGTTATTGGAGCAGAAGCTACCTTTTGACGATAATATCGGGTTCCGCTAAAATGGTCGACAAGATAATCCCAGAGTACAAAAATAGTCAGTGGTATAATCCCAAAGTACCTTTTTTTTTCTGCAAAAATTTTTAGTTTCTGACATATATATACAGGGACAGGGTCTGTGAAGTTACCACTTTCTAGCTTGCCATTGCAGGGTTGCCACTTCACAGGGAAAACCTGGAAAATACAAGAAATTTATAAATCACCTAAAGTATCAGGGAACTTTAATTTTTTCTTTACAAACTGGGAATTTTGTTTCTTATTTTTGTCTTTCAAAAATTGGTGACCACTCAAAGCATAATCTATGGAATATTTAACCATGATATTTCAGCTATACTAAGCTATTCAGGGGTCTGTCCAGGCCAAATTTACTATTGCTTTTTCACAAAAAACTTTTTCTAAAAATTTTATTTTTATATTCTCTAAGAAACAATAAATCCATATTTTTGTGTTAATTTTTAAATGTAATTTTTAATTTTTCTCCAATTATGTCTGAATTTTCACAAAATAGGTACCTCTCAGAAAAACCTACACCCCTGCTATTTTATTTACTACAGCATTATTTAAGTATATTCAGCTGTTCTTCCAGCAATTAAAGCTAATAAACATAGTTATCCCAATATAGCTCACACAAGAGCACCTCTTAATATATTGCTTAAAATATGTACAGGGATTTTTTTTTTTACACGTTTGAGTGGCAACCGTGCATTGGCAACTGAATAATTAGAGATGGAGAATAAGTTTTTACAAGTAAAATGTTGCATTTATATAAAACTGTCATATTTTCCATTGAATTGAGAGCTATAGATCTCTCAACTAGAGCTATAGTTTACTTTTACCAGCTATAGTTTGGGATGAAAAATGTCTTAAAGTCTGAAACTTTTGATGATTTGCTCAGTCTTCTGAAATGGAACATCCCCATAGCAGAGTTTGGTCCTAGAGCTACATTTGACAAATGGGATTTTGGTGCTTAAAAGCAGCAATTTGCAAATCAAATTTTTAAAAGTTTGAGAACTTAAAACATTTCAAATAGGAATAAAATATTTATTATTGTTTTTTTGTAGATATTTGATCCTCAGTTGAAAAAAAAGAAGAAGAAGAAGAAGCTTCCCTTCGATTTGAGTGCACTCGAAGATAGCAATGTGTCGGGTGAAACTGGTGGTGATGCCCAGGAAGATGATGTTGATGGAGTTAAAGATGAAAATGATGCTCCCGAAGATAAAGAAGGTCGGTAGATTGTGAATTGCTACTTATTCTGGGCAGTGGTAATTTTTTTCAAAAGGAAATCGGAAAAAAGAAATGGACAAAATGGGGGTTGGACTTCATAAGACTAATACGCATTATTAGAAGCTATTTTTAGAAGCATTCTAAAAACATCTTAAATAAAACAAATAAATTTTAATTCGGTACCAAAAGCCAGGGTGCATAGTATTTTTTAGAAGGGCTTGAAGGTGAATGTGTAATTCAATGTGTAATTTAGAAAGGCTTTTTTAGAAGGGCTTTTTTTTAAAAATGCTTATTTTTTACATATTTCTAAAACATAATCTTTTTTTTTCCCTAAAAATATTTTTTTTTTTTTTTNAGGGTGCATAGTATTTTTTAGAAGGGCTTGAAGGTGAATGTGTAATTCAATGTGTAATTTAGAAAGGCTTTTTTAGAAGGGCTTTTTTTTAAAAATGCTTATTTTTTACATATTTCTAAAACATATTCTTTTTTTTCCCTAAAAATTTTTTTTTGTTAAGCTGATTGTTATTATGAACAGGGTTTTTGACCCACCCACATACCCATAAGAAAGTGGGTTTTCTCTTTAAAAAAAAAAAAACACTAAAAGGAACAAAATGAAACCCAAGCTCAAATGGGTTTTTTATAAACATAATCAAAATAGATTAATAAAGACTAAGATAAAAGAGAAATATATTTAAAAGATTTCATATTTATCTTAAATGTATTGATTCTGGAATTTTCAAATTGAAACTAACTATAAATACATAGCTAGGCCAAATTTACTATCGTTTAGCGGTATCTTCACAAATTCAACTTAAGGAAAATGATAGTTTCACAAAATACTTTTTCTTAAAATTTCATTTTTGTATCCCGTAAAAAACAATAAATCCATATTTTTACCATTTTTTTTTTTTTTGTTGATATTTTAATTTTCACAAATTATGCCTAAATTTTCGCAAATTATGTCTAAATTTTCACAAAATAGGTACCTCTCAGAAAAACCTAGACAGACCCATGCATGGTTTAAAGAGTAATTCTTAAAACTACTAAGAAAATTGTTAAATAAACAGTAGTTCTGTAGTTAGTTGGCCTGCAAAGAGCTTACTTTGTAACTAAAAAATGAATGTTTAGTAATAAATAAAACAGAAAACAGCATATTTCTCTGATCCCAATATTTTGATTTTATTTTTACCCAAGGAAGGAATTATTTTAAGAGTCTTTTATTAATACATAGCATTAAAAGACGGTACTTCATTAAAATTAAAACTTTAATTTGTAACTTCATATAAAGTTTTATTTTTATTAAAATTGTTTTCTTTTGAATTAAAAATTGAATCTAAAAAGTGTGTTAAATTAGGTGATATCTTTTAAAAATCCAAAGAAGCCCAATAAAACCCACACTTGTGTTTTTTTTTTTTTTTTTNTTTTTTTTTTTTTTTTTTTTTTTTTTTTCAAAAAAAACTCTGATTATAAATTACGCAAAAGTCATAATTTTCAATGCAGTGTCATTTAATTCACTGTCCATTTTGTGGTGCATCGCACGGAAGCGAAGATTGTTTACATACTGCACAAGCTATTTACAGGCTCACATCTGGATTTATTGAAAAGGATTCCCACACTTCGCTCTAATTTGAGAAAGATTCCGGATCTCTTATCTGAAATTGAACTGAAAATCTCTCAAAACTTTGCTGATCACAGGGACTAACTAAACATTGCCAAATATTTTCTCATGTAGCAAAATTTTGTTTTCTTTTCTTTGTGATTTCTTCGCTGGTAAATCGCCATTATTTATGTCGCTGGAAAGCCCGTGACATTCTTGCATTGCTCTATTTTTAGATCTGTGCCACATTACTTGAACTTGACTTGAGGATGGTTTACTAATTTAATATTTTCTTGTGGTTTCAGAACAGTCAAAAAATTATAGAGCTTTACCACTCCAAATGTTTAATCTTTCTTTTTTCCACTTGATTTTAATAAAAGTTCAAATTAGTTCCGATTTTATAATAACTGGAATTTATATTTGAAATACCGACCTGATATTCGGGGATTTAGATCGACATATTTTGAACCCTGCAAGATCTCTTTGTCTGTAAAACTAACTTCTTACTTTATTTATAAGTAAGTCAATGAAATAGGAAAGAACTAAATATTTATTAATATATATTGTCTAAAATATAAATAATTCAGTTTGTCATGAAATAATTTTGTCAATTCAAGTGGATTTTATTTCGAATTTAAGCTGTCCAACGATGACTGAAGTCGAAGTGGACAAGTTATTAACATTTAAATGACTCCTTGTTTTTTATTAAAATCTCCTTGACTTCGACAAGGCAACTCTGATTTTTTATTCTATTATATTTAACTTTTGGCTTTTTTCAATATTTCAGATACTGTACTAGACTTGGATGACTTTTCGGGCTTAAAAAAGAAAAAGAAGAAAAAGAAACCTTTTAATTTAGAAGAACTGGAAACAAATGCTCCGGTAAGTACCTTTTAAAAAAATAGATAAATAAATTTTAGTAGGTAATTCAATTGCTATGTTAAAATTATGTGATTAATAAAGTTGACTTCAATATAATATTAATTGCAGGAGTCTGAATCCAAGGATGAGTCTTCAGCTGTTGCAGCTGAGGACAAAGATGCCGATGATGGAGACTTAGATGATGATTTAGATTTCAGTTTATCAAAGAAAAAGAAGAAGAAGAAGAAAATAAACATTGATGAATTAGAATCTGAATTAGTAGTTGGGGAAGAGGATGAAGATGATGATACTAAATTTGGTAAGTTGTTAATTTCTTCCATAAGAATGAAACGTTCTTCTCAAATTTTAAGAATATTTAAGTTATTATTCTAAACATTTTTAATTTTTATACCACGTATATTATATGTTAAGAACTTCACTTTAATTTACTTCAAGTTTTTTTTTTTTTTTTCTTGCAAGTTGGCACACTATGGACTTGATGTTTATTTACAGACTTTATCCATTTTTTACAGGTTTTAGCCATTTTTTAAAACATATGACCACTTAGTCAGAAATTGTGTCAGGCGGCAACACCATTCTTTTCACATTACGTGGCAATTGAGGGGTGATTCTATTTCGGGTTTTTGTATCATCCTTCCAGGTCTAGAAACTAGGAGCGGGGCATGAGATTTTTCCGCTAATTTCTCGAAATTCCGTGTTTTTAAAGCAATTGATTTTAGGACTGAAGTGAATCAAAACGTATATATAGCTTCCAACTGTCCAGAATTTTTTGGATTTGTTCCTAATTTTTAAATCAAATCTGAAAATCAGATATTTTTATAACAAATCCGGAATTTTCGTAAAATTGCAGTATTTTTGCTTTTAAACAAATCCCTTATTCTGATCGCCGCAATTGCACTTCCTGCGATTATTGTGCAGAAGTAATTTTTAGTAGCTTTTTATTAGAAAAAAATATTCCAATAGCTGTTGCTGATATTTCATTAAATTGCTTAAACAACTATTATTATTTTTTTTAAAATTTATTGTAGTATTTAAACATTTGCATCAGAAATATTTGTTTATGATGTAGTTTAATATTTACCTGTGTTTTTTTATTGGGAGAATAATAATTATATATTAATAGGTAATGGTTTTTTTTAAACTATTATACCGGTATTCCTAATTATGAAATATTAATATTATAAATTTCCCACTAAAGATAGAGTTAATAATATTTTTTTTTTACTAATTTACGTAAGGTATTTAAATATATGTCTATTAATGTTATTATTTATTAGTTAAATTTTTGTCTTACTCTCGTAATTGGTGCGTATAGTTTTGTCGCATATAGTGTTCCTAATTTTTTATTCCTAAGGTTGGCAGCTATGCATATAACACGGCATACTTTTCACTGGGTTACACAATCTAAAATTTCAATTTTGAAACTTTCGTTAAATTGCATTAACGAGAAGTTTTCATAAATGTGATTCTTTTGTCAATTTATTCATTTATTTATTTATTTGGTTTGCAGTTTTTAAGATTTTAATTTGCGCTATAATCCTCTAATATCATGATTCATAAACTGCTGTTTGTAGAAAATGCAACACCATGAAAGAATCATCAGAATCAAATGANTTGGCAGCTATGCATATAACACGGCATACTTTTCACTGGGTTACACAATCTAAAATTTCAATTTAGAAACTTTCGTTAAATTGCATTAACGAGAGGTTTTCATAAATGTGATTCTTTTGTCAATTTATTTATTTATTTATTTTTTTGGTTTGCAGTTTTTAAAATTTTAATTTGCGCTATAATCCGCTAATATCATGATTCATATTCGCATGATTCCAATATCAAATTTGGATTTTCAAATTTACTTGATTTGAAAGTTACTCATTGTAAACCTTATTCACTTGATTTAAAAATCTAGTAACCGCATTGTATTTACACCTTTTTATTATCAATATCGCGATTTGTAATGACGAATTTTTAAATTAAAATTTCGTGTTCACCTGAGTTTAAAAAAAACCAATGTTGTTATCCGTATTCAGGCGTTTGTCTCATCGATTATCATATTTATGCGTGCTTTAAAACTCGCACCCGCCTATTCGTATTCAAGCGATCGAAAAATCCGATATTTACAATTTTTGTCTTCACGTTCTTAAAACCCAGTATCGCGATTCTTATAGGAGCTAGGTTTTTTCTTAAATTGTCATTAAAAAGGCGTGATATTCTTTATTGGTAGGTAATTTAATTATAAATCTTAATTTAGAAAATTATTCTAAACATGTGTAGTTTATAAATTTATATTGAGTGTTGGCACTAAAAATTTTCAAGGTTTTTCACTTTGGGTCGTAATCACCTTTGATTAATATATCATTGTAGTTTGTTTTCTTTCTTTCATTTGTTTTACACCATAGTGTTCTCAGTTATAAGTTTATTCGTTTTCACTAAATAGTGCTAAATTATTTTTATTTTAATTTTTGCTAACAGGAATATCCTCAGGAAACAATCAAAGATGGTTATCTGCAATGTCTACAGCTACCTAGAATTGGTGTCATCTTACATCCCCATTTTAAATAAGTTTTTACCCACAAAATAATTATGTTACAATATTTATAAGGCTTTTATGCTTTTATTTATCATCACGATGTGAGTATATTTCAGTAGCGTAATTCGTTTTCAACGGCAGGCACAGAAAACGTCATTCTTTACCTTTAAAAGTGCCCGAAGTGTTTCTCTTTTTGCAGTGCCTGGTGAGCACCTTGTGATCAAAGTCACAGAGACAAGCAACATTAATCACGCTACGCTGCCATAGGTACCAGTTAATAAAGTGGGCCACATTTACACAGTAGAGGAACATCCGTGCCCCGAGCGGGATTCGAACCCGCAGCCATTGACTTCGCAGTCAGGCATAATGTAATAAAAGAGTATAAGCTTTCAAGCTATAGCTAGAGTGTCAACTTTTTGTTTCTTTTTATATAATTTCTTACAGAAATGTACTTGTTTGGGAAAAAGCCAAATTTCCTGATACTGTGTTAATGGGGAGGGGTAAAGTTTGAAGAGTGGGAAAATTGTATGATCTTGAGGTGCCTATTCCATTTACAAGAACTGGAGTAAGTTTTGTATATGTGCTATTTCTGATGATATTGTTAATGTATATTTATTTTGTTGTAGAAGATGATGCTGAACTTAAATCGACTCCAGCAGTTTCATCAACATCCTGGATTGGTACCGATAGGGATTATGCATATGAAGAAGTAAGTTTTAAATGTAATCCCTATTATTTTAGCCAGAAACTTTTTCCAAGGTTGCTACTCCACGGGAGAAACTTGTAAAAAAGAAATAATTTAAAAATGATTTAAAAGTAGAAAAATGTTAAAAAAATTTGAATGTTTCCTTACTTACAAATTAGGAAAATACAAGGAACTTTTTTTCTTATTTTTAGCATTTAAAAAATGCTGACCTTTCAAAGCTCAATCTATAATTATTTTTAATTTCATAATTATTTTTGTCCTCAGCTTTTTTAAATAAAATTATCATTATAGTATTTAGACTTATAGTCAACTATCATTACATGCATATTTGTTAGTGTAGTAAGTTATTCTTATGTTTCTCGACTCTTAATTTTTAGAGTGATATTTTAAAATAAATTTTTGTACTAAAATAAATTTTTGTACTTTTTAAATCATATTTAGCTCTCGAAAACTTGCTGTCTTTAAAACCTTTTAGCGTCCCTTCAACTTTTAGATACCGAGAGTATACTGCAATATATTTTATCAGTGTCTAAGAAGTAATTTAATATGAACCTTTTATAATAACAGAAAAAGATGGCACTACATTAAACTTTAAGTTATTTTTTATTTTGATTAATTATTGAAACTCTATTTTTTTGTTAAAAATTTCTTTTAAGCTAAAATTCTCTTTTGAAATTAAAATTTAATCCCAATAAAGTGTTATAATAGTTAAAATCTTAAAAAGCCCTATAAAACACACCAAGGTTCTTTTTATTTTAGTAAAAAAAAAAAATTTGAACCCTTAGTTGATATCATTCTTCTTTTGCAGCTGTTGATTAGAGTATTTAACATAATAAGAGAAAAGAATCCTGATATGGTTGCTGGTGAAAAGAGACGGTTTATTATGAGACCTCCTCAAGTTATCAGGGTGGGCACCAAGAAGACTTCTTTTGCTAACTTCATAGAAATTTGTAAAATGTAAGTATTATAATTGAGGCTTATAATTTTGACCAGGACACTGATTAAAATGTCCTAAAAATAGTTTTCATCATCCGTAAATTGTCTAAATGTTTATGAACTGTTATAAATGGTCTTAATTAGCTTTATTTCTTATAAATAATTGTTTGGTAGTCAAAAGTAACTTGAAGAAAAACAAAGAGTAAGATTGCAGTAAAGAAAGCTTATGAGGCCAATAATAAAATATACAATGAGCAGGGGTTACACAAGAATTTTAAATTATTGTCTAGTAAATTAGCCAAATATCAAAAGTATTTGCCTATTTCCAAAGGTTTCACCAAATGCAAATCTTAGCAATTTTTTATGATTAATTTTTTTCACATAGAAAACTGTTTTATGTAGTTTGTTTCAGGTTTATATTATTTGGACTCAATTCTTTTTTGGTTATGCAACTCCTCTACCAAAAATTACTGTAATCAAATAAAAAAAAATACTGATTTGTGTGAAAAAAAACATTCTCCAATACTTTCGCCAAAACACAATTTTATTCACTAAATTACGAGTTTATCACATTTGGAGAGGTGAGAATGCTTAGCGCAGGCCCTGACTAAGAATTAAAAAATGTACCTCGTAATTGTTTAAAAAAAAATTTTAGATTCCAATTTAAAGCATAAAATATGTTCATTACAAGCATTCACATTACATCTAATGAACTTTTATGCCAGTTCTTTATCAACAGTAAAATTAATTTTTCTAAGTAAAATAATCCAAAATAAATTGCAAATACGGCTAAATTTAGAAACAGCAAGGCTTGTTATTATTCTAAAGTTCAACAAATAGCATAAAAAAATCTTTTATAAGAAATTATTTAAACTATATTATGTTGTATTTTGGTCTTATGTTGCACAGATGTTAAATTTTTTTTTCATTTGGTGTTATTGTCATTCTAAAATATGACTGACATATTTATTTCCTAACACTTAAAAACCAACTTATCTTATTTCATTCTTTTTCAATAAATAAAAATCTTTATTATAAACTCTAATCTTTTCATACCACAATATTGAATTGAGTGAATTATTTTTTGATTCCCTCTACATATGCCTAATATGTTAGCGTATAATTTGAAAACCGTTATATGGTTGTTATTGTTTTGAATTCATTATTATTCCGCCAACACACTTGAATGTGTAAGGCCAAGAAAAATAACCTTAGCAATAGATTAAAACAATTAATAGCCAATATAAGGATTTCTTTACTTTCCTTGGCGAATGATGGACGGAGGTGTGTTGTGAGGCTTAGTCCTGCAACTTCACTCTCCGGGCCTTTTCTAAATTTAATATTTTATTAGTTCACATGTACATAAAAAAATTACATTTCTCTTTACTTTGGAGCTCCATATATTTCTGAAGTAAAACATTTTTAATACTAATCATAATTTGGTTCTTCATTTAAACAGTTTTTGATTAATATATAATTGGTGATATCATTATTTGATATCATTCAATATCAAATAATTTCCTTGATAGTTGTGTTGTGACATTTTTGACAAAATTTGTAAATTTGGTTTCACTGGGGCTAGTGGAATATATTTTATTATCATTGAATATATTAAATTGTAAATTTCAGTGATCAAAATTGTTATGGACCTGCTTAGTTAAAAGTGTTTGAATTACACATTAAAAGCAGTTCAACCAGTTTTAATTCTTATGTCTTTTTCAGATATTTTTTTAAACATTACTAGGTTTGAGGAATTGTGTTCATAAATAAAATGCTAATATTGTAAATTATATTTCTAGGGTTCATAGACAACCTAGACATTTACAAGCCTTCCTTTTAGCTGAGTTAGGTACTAGGTATGTAATTTATTACAGTATTAATGACATATAGTCCTATAGTTTTCATTGCTAATATGTGTAATTATATCTGCTGTTTTTGAAATACTAAAATTTAAAAAAAAGTAACAAGCCCTTTGAACAGCGGTTTTAACTTTGTGTCAGCCCTTTGGCTGACGATTTTGACTTTGGGTAAACTGTTCCCTCAAAAACTCCCAAAATTCCTTTTATGTATTGGTTTTAAACATAATTATTCTTGCATTAAATAACAAAGTGCATGTAGTGTTTAAAGGGAAATTGAAGTATTATTTTTTTATATATATATTTAACTGTGATGAAAGAGAAAATGAAAAACAATACTATTGCACTTAATTTCAATTATTTAAAAGCATTGTGATTGCTTTTAACCCTTTATAAGGACATGGCTAGTATATTTACTACCAACTTCATTGTCAATAGGACTATATTTGCTGATATTTTTAGAAATTACACCAACAACAAAAACTGTAAACTTTGTTTATATAAATATGAACAACAGTACATGTCAGCATGGTGTCGAGAAGACGGGTAAACACTTGGGAAGTATTTTTTCTTATATCTTGGGTGTTCAGTCATTTGAGAATTTCTCATTGATTTTATTTTTAGTTATAAATGCAGAATTTATAAATTTGGTTATTTAAAAGCTCTGCAGTTCAAGTTAATGACCAATTCTTTACAAAAGTTAAAAGTTTGATTATTCCATCTTTGCTCCCTCATAAAAATGGTCTTAAAAATCAAATTAATTTTTGGTCATTAGCTTAATTTCTTTTCTTAAACCAATCTCAATTCCAAAAACATTTCAACATAACATTTCTAGATTGAAAATAAGAAAATATCCATATAAAGAGTTAAACACAGTATGTTATAGCAATATATTAAAATTATGTTTATATTTTTTTAGCATATAGCAGTATCCTTGAAATATATACAAATGACCACAATATGATAACTAATAATCTACTGGATGCTTTCTATTTATGAAATTATCAACTATAATGACAAATAGTTAACACAGATTATTAAAATTTAGTGATGGGTATATTTTGAAATATTTATACTTCGATGTAACTAAACTATATATTTATGTGTATTGGAATGTGTTTATGTGTTAGGTTGATGTTATAAATATACTAGGAAAAATTAAAAAGCAAATCATTCCTGCGAAAGCCCATTGTGGGCCTGAGATCATGTATAATAAGGCTCCACAATTTCATGACCAACTGCATGATTGTTGCAATATGGTCAGCACTGTGCACAGGTCACCTTTACTTCTCAGGCAAACTGGTACCCATCCTTCTGAATCTGGTTGGGCTTCAAGTCGCCACGGGTGACCGATAACCAGTTTTTCACATTGACTGACCAGCGTAAAAGTAGTGACAGTGACAAAAACTAAGGGCATTGTAATTTAACCAGTGTATTGACACTTGTCTAGTCTAAACACTGCCTCGCTTTTTGGACTATTATATGCTAAAACTGGTTTTAAAAAGTGCATAAAGGTGCTTTTCCCATTAGATATTTGTAAAAAGTGCTTAGTTTCCACATTTCCAAAGTGAAATTTTTTTCTTTGCTCTGACCATAATCCTTTTTGGTAGTTTGATATATTCCTATGCGTGTATGCTGAGCTGGATTCGGTGGGTAGGATTTTAGCACTCAGACTCTTGAGTGCAACTTTGCGATAGATTCCCAGTTCAATGTTTAATCCTTGCCTTCTGAATTCTAACCAAATTTTTTTTAAATTTCTGCTCAGTATGGGGACCAACTAAATATTGCCATGTTTTCCCAGTAGTGAAATAGCATTTTATTTTTCTTTCTCGTTAATTTTTCTTTGGTGATACGCCATCATCTTCATCTCTGGCAAGCTGATGTGGTTCTCATTCTGTTCTTTTTATATATTACCCAGGGTGCTTAGTGTTTTTAAAAAGTGCTTAAATGTGCTTATTTTCGTTTTTAAAAAGCCCTTAAAGGTGCTTTTTACATTGGGTATTTTTAAAAAGTGCTAAATTTTCCCTCTTCTAAAATAGGTTTTTCCCTTTATTATCTTAATTTTCCCTTTGAATTATGCAAAAAGACAGTTCATATTATTCTATTCAACTTTTTCAAAGTGCTTAAAAAAATTAGAATACTTAAAAGGTGCTTATTTTTAGTTGAATAATTTGGCTACGCTCCCTGTTACCTCAATTTGACTAGGAGATCATTCACTAATCAAGTGAATGTGTTTCCAGAGCAGTCACTCATTACAGAGCTTCATCACTTCAAAATTTTCATTTTCTCATGGAAAAAAAAAAAAGACTCAATAATTTTTAGAGCCAAGTTTTTTTAATAAAATGAATTGAGAGGCTTTTCATTATTCTAACTTTTAGCGAATGTTGCAAAAAATATTATTGTGATTCAGATTTGTCAATTCTAAATAGTNTTTTTTTAACGCTAAAACTGTTTATAAAAAGTTTTTGTTTTTCAATAATATCATTGATTGAATATGAATTTTTTGAGTGCTTGAAAATTTTTGTAAAGTGCTTGAAAAGTTTTTAAAAAGTGCTTATTTTTGATTCAAAGATTTGGCTACGCACCCTGTCTCTGGCAAGCTGATGTGGTTCTCATTCTGTTCTATTTATATGTTACCCAGGTTGCGTAGTGTTTTTAAAAAGTGCTTAAAGGTGCTTATTTTTGTTTTTAAAAAGCCCTTAAAGGTGCTTTTTTCATTGGGTACTTTTAAAAAGTGCTTAATTTTCCCTCTTTTAAAATAGGATTTTCCCTTTATTATGTTGATTTTCACTTCGAATTATGCAAAAGACAGTTCATATTATTCTATTCAACGTCTTCAAAGTGTTTTAAAAAAATTGAGTGCTTAAAAGGTGCTTATTTTTTGTTGAATAATTTGGCTACGCTCCCTGTTACCTCAACTTGACTAGGAGATCATTCACTAATCAAGTGAATTTCGTGTCCAGAGTAGTCACTTATTACAGAGCTTCATCACTTCAAAATTTTCATTTTCACATGGAAAAAAAAAGACTCAATAATTTTTAGAGCACAGATTTTTTTAATAACATGAATTGAGAGACTTTTCATTATTCTAACTTTTAGCGAATGTTGCAAAAAATATTATTGTGATTCAGATTTGTCAATTCTAAATAGTATAATTTATCTCTTTATTATTTGATTTAAAAATAATTGAGCTTAAATATTTGATAATCTCAAATTTGTTAATCATGATGAATATAGGAACCACATAGTAATAATTTACTTTAGAAAAAAATATTTAACTTCACTACTTATCATATTTTTACTTCAAAATTTTTGAATAAATTTTTTTAAATATTTTGTTGAAGAAATGCTGTACAAAAATTCTAATTTTCATTGAAATTTTAAAGAGAGCGCCATTCACAAATTTGCACTTGTAATATAAATTTATTGAGATTTTCTTAGTTTGCTCAATTCTCTACACATCTTTATCAATTTAGTATGATCAATAATATTAAACTTCTATGTTTTTGCTGAGTATGCATTTGTAAGTTTTTATTTAAATATAAAAAATTACATCTGATACCTTTTTTAAAATGAAAGTTCAAATAATTGTTATTTTGAAATAAAATTAATTTTTGTAAACAATGGAATGAAATGATTATTAATTTAAATAATATAATGAGCAATTTGATGTTGGATATATTAATTGTGCATAAAATAATTTATCGTGAATTAATAAGTTCTGTGCCAGAAACTAATTATTTTTAAATGATTATGGTAAGTCTTTGAAAGTGTTTCTTTTTATTTATTTTTTTATTATTGTTTTCATAATTTTATGCATTTATGAAGAGCTTTCAACATAAGGAAGAAGAAAGAAAATATTTTATTAAAAAAAAAGTGCTTACAAATATTTTTGGTGTGCTTATTTTATGTTAAAAAATTTGACTATGTACCTTTCTAAAAGCACTGCAGTCTGTATGCAATGTGACTAATTTGATTAAAATTGAATACTAAAGTATGTTTTTATCTACCCAAAATCTTTCTATTTGGAAATATGACATTTTTAAAAAAAATTTAATGTATAATGTCATTGTTATGTTCATGTCTTTCGGTTGTTACATTAATTATTTATATTTTCTCCTAGTGGTTCTGTTGATGCAAATAATCAGTTAATTATTAAAGGCAGATTTCAGCAAAAACAAATTGAAAATGTTTTGAGGAGATATATCAGTAAGTTATTTGTTTCATCTGAGAAAGTTTCTTTATTCATCTTTTTATTAATAAATCACAGAAGCCAACATTAAAACTCTCTAAAATTGTATTAGTAATAGCATACAAGTTTTGGTGCTCTGCTAAGTGTTCTATGGATGGTGAGCCATATAAATCAAAGTTTGGGTACCACTCACAGTTAAAACTCAAGTATTCACACTTAAAACTGCTTACATGTGAATACTACTAATTCATTTTTACATATTAGCTTTTAAAAAATAATATGCCATCTTAAATTATTGGGTTGAAAACATGCTGATAAAAATATTTTGTCCTGATATTTTAGATTTTTGTGTGTATTCTGAACAATTAATTAGTACAATTAAAATGTGGATTTCATAGTAACAAATTTGAAGAATAAAAAAATGGGAAGATTCGTTTGTTCAAACTTATGTACCGCCCACTAATTATTTACATGGTTTACACATGAAGTACCGCCCACTAATTATTTACATGATCAAAAGATTCATTCCTAAACTTTTTGAGGATTCAATAATTTTATGGAAAAGGAACTTAATTAACAATTTTACATAATCAAATTTGATGAATTCAGGGGTCATATACTTATTTTAGCAAATGCAGTATCAGATCTTGTAAAGAGAGATGTGTAATTATTGGTTTGTTGCTTAACTAATTTTAAAAATGATTGATCTCACTCATCTATACAAGTGAGTTAAAGGGATCATATACTGAATTGTGTACAAAAATGTTAATGAGCATATTCATTGTGTTTTAATTTCAAGATTATTGTAGCCATACTTTAAAATTATTTAAGAAGCCTTGTTATAGCCAACTTTCTATTCTTTTTGAAAAAATGTCATCTAGTGGTAGCTAAGTTAAAAGTATTATTGGCCACTTTGTTCCAAGGTGAGACTTTTTATGTGTTGGCAAAATTGCCAAATATTCTGTAAGCTGTAGTGTTTTAAGTTTACCACTCAATAAAATATTTTGCAAAAAGCATAGTAGTTGGTTGCCTTGTTATTGTTAAAATAGAGAGAAATATAAAATATGAGCAAGTATGAAAGCAACAAAACCAAAACCGCCAATAAGAAAAAGGGTGCTGATGTTTCCATCGAACCAAAGAATGACTGCTCATTTGTAACATTTTCTAAATATTAGAACACTATAGGTGGTGTTCCATTAAAGCACTGTTACTTGTAGGCTATTTTTAAGACGAGTGTAAATGATGGCTTGTGTCATTAATTTTTATCATTCAGTTTTTATTGTCATTAATGAATTCGATGTGATTTTTCAGAGGAATATGTGACATGTCACACATGTAGGTCCCCAGATACTATATTGCAGAAAGACACAAGACTTTTCTTTTTGCAATGCGAAACTTGTGGCTCTCGCTGTTCCGTAGCTAGCATCAAATCTGGTTTCCAGGCTGTTACTGGTAAACGTGCTGCCATCAGAGCCAAGACAGCATAGAAAAAGAGTTTTTGTATGTTTATATTATAAAATAAACTATCCCATGCTATTTTTTTGTGTTCATATGAGAACTTGTCTTTCTTTTTAAATATACTAAATTAAAAAAGAATGTTAGTGTTCTTGGCTAACTTTGCTTTTATACTAGGGAATTTGTATTTTATTTCTGTCATTCATTTAAAAAAAAATTGTTGAAGATCAAATATTACTGTGCGGATTTTTTGGATTGTATTTAAAAGTACCTTAAATACAAACAAAAGTTTGTTTTAAATTAATAAAGATATCAATTATACTGTCTAATTATATGTTATTTTATGTTCATTCTACTTAAGGGGCCATGCTCTCAATTGCAGAACAAGGTTACACATTTGTTGCCATATCTATTTTAGTCTAGCTTTTTATGAATTGTGGTTTTCTTTGGAAAATTAAGTTCTAAAACATGCAACATATACTTCGTAGTTGTAAATTAGTTATAGTTTTGATACAACTGTTCCAAGTTTTTATATGAACTTGTAAAATGCATAGAAACCAAAGTAAATGGGAAAAATTAAAACAATAATTCTGAGTCAAGCTGAACTTTCAATACAGCCTGCATACACAATTACAAATTTGTGAGAATGTGGGTACGAAATTGACATATTATTTTCGAAAGAAATATAATTTATTTTTAAGCCTGGTTAGTAGGACGTCAGCCCCATGTTCGTGAGAACACGGGTAGGAATTCAGCTGGCTGGTACACGTTAAATCTGTTTGGGTCACAAAGTCCTCCAAGTTCCCTTACCAAATAAATACCTCTGATGCTATTAAATTGGAAATTGAGATCATTCTCTGGTTCAAGTTAAAATTAAAATCTGTAGATGAATGAATGGAGTATGATTAGGTCCTCCCTGTAAAACAGGCTGCGACGTGTATGGCTGAAGTCTTATTCTTGGCCCTAGATGATGTCACTGAAAAAAACAAGTTAATTTTTAAGACAGAGGGGGCGTTTCTTGATTTTAAGCTGGTACGGGCAAGTGGCATAAGTAACAACGTAAGTTTTTATACCAGTTTCATTAAAATGCCTCTCTATCTTATTGTTGTTCTTATTCCCATCCCCATGGCTAGCATCCCAAGACATCATCAGGTCCATGAGCTCGTTCACTCTAAGAAAATCTAGCACCAACAGGGGAGCTTGAACCAGGTCCTGCCTGGTAAGTCTTAGACAAGATAAAATGTGGTCAGGGGAGGGGAGTTTTACATATATATAATATTCATCATACTTTCATATTTATTAGAATAAAACAAACTGCACAAACAAAGGGTGCATTTTTTACAGAAAAGTGGCTGTCAGGCGACAATATTTCATCATTTGTGGCCAGTGAAGACTTTTTTCCCCTTTACTTAACTAGAGGGTTCTCAGCCAGCTAAATTTAGAACTACAACCCTTTGCATAACCTATTCTACCCTTTTCTTGACATCGGTTATCCAATTTTTATGGCTAACTATAATATTTAAATCTCCAATGGCAGAGTACGTGACAAAATGTAAAAACAACACAGTGTAGAATTCCAAGCGTAACACAGAGGAAATCACCCAATTATTTTATCCTAAAAAATGCATTAAATATATGTGAAAACAAAAAATTGTGCAATAATATGCTACTTTAAGGTGCAATATTTAATTAAATGGCATAAAATAATAAAAGAGCATAATTTAATTGCCAGGTAATTAAAAGCNACGTAAGTTTTTATAACAGTTTCATTAAAATGCCTCTCTATCTTATTGTTGTTCTTATTCTCATCCTCATGACCAGCAGAGCTAGATCAGGTCCATGAGCTCGTTCACTCTAAGAAAATCTAGCACCAACAGGAGAGCTTGAACCAGGTCCTGCCTGGTAAGTCTTAGACAAGATAAAATGTGGTCAGGGGAGGCCTGGGCAGCAGATTTCGAAGTGTTTATTACCATAGTTATAAGTCATTGGTGACAGATGTCCACTGAGGAAACTAGTTTTCTCTCTTTCTAAATTGTGATACTAAAGGATACAGGTCAAAATTTTACTACTAGCCAGTGATAGCATTTTAAAGAGTAATTACTTAGTGGCTACTTTTAAAATATTTAAATAACTGTTGATATTAATGTAAGATATTTCATTTGAAGCATTTTTCAAAACAGTAAACAAGGTTCATTTCTAAAATGAAACATTTTAAAACACAAGTTTTACATATATATAATATTCATCATACTTTCATATTTTATTAAAATAAAACAAACTGCACAAACAAAGGTTGCATTTTTGACAGAAAAGTGGCAGTCATGCAACAATATTTCATCATTTGAGCTATATTTGTGGCCAGTGAAGACTTTTTCCCCCTTTGCTTAACTAGAGGGTTCTCAACCAGCTAAATTTAGAACTACAACCCTTTGGATAACCTATCCTACCCTTTTTTTGACATCTGTTATCCAATTTTTATGGCTAACTATAATATTTACTTTTTTTCTATCTCCAATGGCAGAGTACGTGACAAAATGTAACAAAAACACAGTGTAGAATTTCAAGCGTAACAGAGAGGAAATCACACAGCTATTTTATCCTAAAAAATGCATTAAATATATGTGAAAACAAAAAATTGTGCAATAACATGCTACTTTACGGTGCAATGTTTAATTAAATGGCATAAAATAATAAAAGAGCATAATTTAATTGCCAGGTAATTAAAAGCATCCCTAACAGAGGGAACAAAGAAAATCCAACATTTTTGACATGCACTGTTATTTGTGATTTGGAACATCCAAAACATTTGTAATTTTTTTTAATTATCACATTTCATTGTAAAGTAAATTATTATAAGACTTTTCAAATTGCTTACACATTTTTATTAACTTCAAAAAATGCAATGTAACAGAGGGGACATTAAATTTGACAAATAGTTACAGGGAAATATCATGCCATTTAATTAAACATTGATATTGTTGCACAATTTTTTGTTTTCACATATATTTAATTCATTTTTTAGGATAAAATACCTGTGTGATTTCCTCTATGTTACACTTGGAATTCTTCTGCTGGTTTCAGTTGGCATGGAAATCAATCGGTACATAAATAGTCTTATTTGGCTTCTCGTCTCCCAGTATTGAGATATTATTTGTAATGATATTTGGACAAATCAAGCTCGCCAGCCTTTTGCGAATTAAGTCGGGAAGGTTTGCGTTAGCTCAGAACTCCACTGATAGATGGCAGTACCACTTATTTGTCAGGGCACTTCCTCAATTCAGACATAGATAACATGCACATTTTCTCCAGATCCCCGTATTGCCAAGCAATAGAACAAAAAATTAAAAATTGAGATTTTTATGTAACTGACATCTATGTATAATAAGCTATAACAACTTTTTGCAAAATTTATAGTGAAGCACTCTCGTTTTTTCAAACGCACAACAGCGTACCCATGGAAATGCTCGTCGACCAACCACAAGAAGTGCGTTAATTCTATGGATTTTTTTAGCATATATATTGTTTATACTCGACTGGGCTGGAGCCTGATTCTCTAACCACTAGACTATACCCTGTGTTGTTCACCTAAGTAGTGCTCCTCAGTAAGAAATAAGATGGTCATCCATTATTATGTGACCCCTACAAGTAGGGGTCCAGGAGGACACCATACGGAAGAGCTCTATAATAAACTTAGCTGTGTGGCTTCTATGCCCTTACATTTACTCGAATGGAAATTACACATTGTCAAACATCAAGATTATTTATGGGTGAAATATTCAAGTATAAAAGAAGGCTTAAATTTTCTTGTTTTTAATTGTATACTTAATTTAAAAAAATAAAAACGTGTTATTTCTTATTATATTTAATGTGAAGTTAGGTGGTCATAAAACAATACATAAAAACTGCTCACTTTATTTTACATTATATTTACAATAAGAACACAAAAATAATGCTCAGGCAATAGAAACAATGATAATCATTTTCTGAACTCTTCAACTTTCGAAATGATGAAATCTATTTGTTCTTTGTTGTTGTAGTTCTCATTTAGGTATACAATTTTAATACCATCCTGCTCATAAGATTCTACCACATGCCAGCTTTCAAATAATTTGAGGGAGTTCTTGAAAGTGATGGCCGAGAAACTCTCTTCTGCAGACAATTTAAAACATGATTAGTATTAAATAAATTTGTTACCGTGAAGGATCGAAATCAAGAGAATGTCATCTTTCAACAGTGAATGTCAACAATCACATAGCCACATTTACCAAGGCTACTATGTGATTGTCAACATTTACCGATGGAAATCAATAAACACCCATTCCGGTCATTCACAATACATTCATTAATTACAATAATATAAAACCCTTTTTTAACTAAACATATTGTTAACAATCCACTGATTTAAAAGTGGAAGAGTTACTAATATTACGGGTTGCACTGTAACTTAGGTTAGATCACTAACGCCACTTTAATATCACACAATCATTGCCAGCAATCTGAGATTTGGCTTTTTTAAAGGTTTTGCCATCACATGAAATAATGCTTTAAGAATAATATGTTATATTTTTGAATTTGCTGTGAGTTTGAAACAGTTATTCATGACTGTTCAGTCAGATTTAGCCTATCTGTGGCCAACCATCTCTATGCTGATTCTAAAAATAGCAGAAAAACTTCAATGTGAAAAAAATTCACTTTTCTAAGTCCAAAAAGCGTTAGTGATCTAATTTTTTAATATTTAAAAAATGACTCTAATACTGTATTACCTGGTCTCATAAAAAGTTACAAATATTGATAATTTCACCTAGGTGGAAATATCTAACCAAATTAACGAGTTTTAAAAAATTTTAACTTGTAAAAATTGAAGTTATTCAGCTTTTTAAAGTCCAGATAATTCATACTGCAAGATCGTATGTAAAGCTCTGCCTCAACTGTAAGGAACTTACAGAGTTTTTATTTTCTGCACTACATAATGATCAAATAAAAACCCAATAAAATTTTCACTCACATATGCAATATACATTTCTATTTCTATGTAAAGAAAATTAACTGGTATTACAGCATCATTTTCTCCACGTAATAAGTGATTAGTCTTGTTACTCTCTTCATTCTTAGAGATTTAATGATAATTCATATTTTCTGAGTTATAACATGAAGAGAATTATTCATTTTAGATAATTCATCCAGACATAAGTATTCCACCGATTGATTGTTAATGGGAAAATGTTAAACACCTGTTTTTGGATCATAATTTTCTAGGAAATAAAACAAAATTTTGGTCACTTTATTGGTATAAATCAATGGTTCCTAACCTTTTGTGTACCATCGCCCCCCTCTTGGGGGTTGGCTGACACATATCGCCCCTTTATCTTTTTGCTCAAAAAACCATTCATTGTTGCTTGTGAGCAACCAAACACTGAAAATATGCAATGTTATTTGATTTTAATTTAAATTGTAATGCAAATAAGGAGGCACATTTATCCTGTCATTTTTATTCATTAAAAAAAAAATTGTGCATCTTTTTTTTTCAAAAAGAAATGATATTTAAAACGGAATAATCAAAACAAAAGTTCATTTTTTTAAATTCATATTTTAATGTAATCAAGAAAAAGTTAAAACGTTAACAACTAAAATTTGAGAAAAAAAAATGAAGATTGAGAAAGTACATTTTTACCACTTCAATGACTGCCCTGTGCTTGGTGTTTTCAAGTTAAAGCTTGAATGTCAGGTTTTATGCTCCTCAGATTTAAACGCGGGTCTCCTTTGAAACAAATGTCCAACCTTTCTTTTTGCATTGAGAGCAGCTGGAAGACAGAACTAAATCCTGTCTCTACTAAATATGTTGACGGGAACGAGATAAGAAGCGGCTCAGTTTGTTTCCACAATTGTGGATAAGTGTCCATAAGCTTTACCCAAGATAACTTGTAACCGTATTTTTTAAAGACGACTTTAGCCTCACAGTCATACTTCAAATCTAAAATCTCAGTCTACAAAGAGGAAGTGAGCTTATCCACAACTTCAAAAGAGAAAGGATCGAAAATCCAATCCGGAATTTCTAATTTCATTAAATCTTTAAATCTTGATTCCATAACTGATCAAGGTGATCAGTAAAAATTAAGATTTTATTTTCGAGAATCTCGATATCTGCCATTGAACACTTTTTAAGAGTTGGAAATTGCATTAGCTCTTTGCGACCAATGTTTGACTTGTAGATATCAAA